TGAAAAACAGCGTCAGTGGGTTAAGAAAGAAAAACCAGGTGAGGCAGCAAGCAGGAAACCTGCACCACCAAAGAGACAGGGAGGCTCCTGCAAAGGGTAGAGGTTAGTTGCAGTGGGGAGCAATCACACAGCCGCATCTCAGAGGTGACAGGCTGATTAAGCTTTCCATAGGAACACATAAGGCTGTGTGATTAAGTTTGTTAAGCCAAGGATATCTGTGAAAGCTGTTACCCTGAAAAAGTAGAACCAGAATAAAACTAAGCCTTCAAAGAACTTAACAGACTTACCACAGTTTTATTTGCAAACCTTTCTATTCAACATGTGTCACACAAAAGTTATGAGTTTTCTGTATTTACAGAGTCATATTGTTTAAACTTTATTTTTTTATGTTCTAATAAAAAATAACTTCAAAGATTTGGGACATTCTGTTCTTTTTGAGATTTAAAATAAAGCACATAACTTTAGGCTCTAGCTACCTCGCAGTGTGTCATGTTACTGGATTAAGCCAACTAGCTAAACAAAGCACATGTAATAGCACACCATAAACCCCTTTACAACAGCTCCAATTCCCATCACATGAAATGCAAACAATCCTGACATTATTAACATTGCAAACAAACAACTGCAAAGTCACAGGAGCACTCAAAGTAGAGCTGAGACAGCCTGAAAGTTTCTGTGCCTATCTGAGGAGAATTATGAACCATATTTGTGGTCAGTGTGGCAGCCAACACGTGTGCACAACTGACATCATGATCAACTGATACAGAAGGTGAGAAACAGCTAAATTACGCTCAGCCCCAAGCCTGGAAGCCAACACTTTCAGTGCGTAAGTACCATTCCCACCATATGCTGAAGTGTTCGGGCTGTACCACACACCCACAAACATCAGGGTGCTGTTTGCCTGGTGAATCACACCAAAATCTGTGTTCCTTCTTACAGCTGTAAATATCTGCTCTAACTCCTCAGGTGTGCCACTACAACATGGAAACTGTTCTACCATTTTAGTGGGTCTGTCTTAGATCTCAGAATCCATCTGTGGTACCAAGTAAAGGCAATCTAAGACACTGAGGGCAATTCAGATTCATCCTGAAAATGTTACTGCATCTGGAATGGGTAATCAACTGCAGGCCTGTGCTGGTTTTGGCTTAATTTTCTTCATAGTAGCTAACAGGACTAAGTTTTGGATTTGTGCTGGAAACAGCGTGGATAATTCAGGGATGTTTTCATTACTGCTGAGCACTGCTTACACACAGCCAAGGCCTTTTCTGCTCCTCACACCACCATACGAGCGAGCAGGCTGGGGTTGCACAAGGAGTTGGAATGGGACCACAGCCAGGACAGCTGACCCCAGCTGATCCAAGGGATATTCCATACCATACAGCATATAAAGCTGGGGAAGAAGTTGACAGGCATGGAGGGGCGCTGCTGGGAGACTGGCTGCACATTCGTTGGTTGGTGGTGAGCAACTGTTTTCATTTGCATCACTTGTCTTTCCTGGGTTTTATTTTAATCTGTTATTTTCCTTTTAATTACATTTGTTATTATTATTGCTTTATTTCAATTATTAAACTGTTCTTATCTCAACCCACAAAGTTTTCTCACTTTTACCCTTCCCCTCCCCCCACTGTGGGGGAGAGTGAGTGATCAGCTGTGTGGTGTTTAGTTGATGGCTGGGGTTAAGCCACAACAAGGCTGTATCATCC